AGTTGAGCTCTGGGATTTGGAATCACAAGCATTGCCATGAACTTCAGGTGCACAAGGGTTTGCTTGAGAAATGGCTGACCTTTAAACACAGTTAGTAAACTGACTCACATACATACCCAAAAATCATGATAAGTACATTCAACAATGAAGGAGTGTCATGTGTCTTTCATGTGTCATGTGTCTTGCATGATTCAAGATGGCGCCGAGTATGGCTGCCGTGTTGCGAGCTCCCGCTTACTTTTGCAGTTTTTTGTTGTTTTTGTGTTTGTTTTTAACTCTTTTTGCACTAAATGTTACTGGTTTTATCACCTACGACCGACAAACACTTCTGGAAATCAGATCGTCGATCACTCACCGGAAACCGGACTTTGAGTTCCATAACGCCGATCCTTTGTTTACTAACACTGGAGAGGCGCCACTCATCTGGGCCGCCCGGCCACGCACCCGTCGAAGACGCCGGAAAAGAGGCAAGAGAGCCGGCGTGCTCGTCAGACTCAGACGACGTGCCCATCGGCCGCCTCTTCCCACCATATTACTGGCTAACGTGCAGTCCTTGGAAAACAAGTTGTGTGAGCTTCATGCACGGGTCGCCTTCCAGCGAGAGATCCGGGACTGCAGCGTTCTCTGCCTCACAGAAACGTGGTTATCCGATGAGGTCCCTGATAATGCCATCGAACCCGCCGGGTTCTCTCTGCACCGCGCCGATAGAACCAAGCAGCTCTCCGGGAAAAGCAAAGGAGGAGGTGTATGTTTTCTGATCAATAACGCTTGGTGTGATCGGAGGAATGTACATTTCATCGAGTCTTTCTGCTCGCCGGATTTGGAATATCTCATCGTGTTTTGCCGGCCGGCGTGGCTGCCCCGTGAGATAATGGGACTCTGTCTGGCCGCGGTGTACATCCCCCCGCAGGCGGACTCGGACCTCGCGCTCGGGAAGCTACACGAGGCTATCAGCAAGCAGATGACCGCGCGCCCGGAGGCTGCACTTATTGTTGCGGGGGACTTTAATCGGAATAACCTGCGAACCTACTGTCCGACATTATTCCAGCACGTAACATGTTTCACTCGGAAAGACAGGATTTTAGACCATGTTTACTCCAGCATCCGGAACTGTTACAAATCCCTCCCCCGACCCCCGTTCGGCAAATCAGATCACTCCTCCATCCTGCTCCTGCCCACCTATAGGCAGAAGCTGAAACGGGGGCCGGTCACTACCAGGGAGGTGCGCCGCTGGTCTGACCAATCAGACGCTATGCTGCAGGATTGTTTTGATCATGTGGACTGGGAAATGTTCCGTGATTCGTCGGGCAGCGTGGACGAGTACGCAGACACAGTCACCGCCTTCATACGCAAGTGTGTTGATGACGTAGTGCCCTGCAGACAAGTCCGCGTTTACCCCAATCAGAAGCCCTGGCTGAACTGTGAGGTTCGCTCCGCCCTCAGCGCACGCAGCGCTGCATTCAGAGCGGGAAATACGGAGGAGTACAAGCAATCCAACTACGCTCTCCGTAAATCCATCAGAGCAGCTAAACGTGCGTACAGAATGAAAGTGGAAGCACAGTTCAACACAGCCAACACACGAAGCTTATGGCAGGGGTTAAATACAATCTCTGACTATAAAACTGCCTCTCGCACTCTGCCCAGTACCAGCGCTGATCTGCCGGACGAGCTTAATAACTTCTACGCTCGCTTCGACGGAATTCCCGCAGCACCACTGGAGAGCGCCCCGCCCACCGCTGATCCCAACGCCCCCTCCGTCTCCGTAGCTGATGTGTGCAAAGCCTTCAAGAGGGTGAACCCACGCAAGTCAGCAGGACCAGATGGCATTCCCGGGAGAGTGCTTAAAGCCTGCTACAGGGAACTAGCAGGAGTTTTTGCAGACATCTATAACACCTCACTGTCTCTCTCGGTCGTGCCAGCTAGTTTCAAACTAGCCACCATTGTGCCAGTTCCAAAGACAGCTAGTATTACCTGTCTGAACGACTGGCGACCTGTTGCCCTGACCTCCATCGTAAGCAAATGCTTTGAGAGGCTGGTCAGAGATATCATCTGTTCCTCACTGCCTGCCACCCTGGACCCACTGCAATTTGCATATAGGCGGAATAGATCCACCGACGATGCAATCGCCCTGACCCTGCACACTGCCCTCTCCCACCTAGAAAAGAAGGACACGTATGTGAGAATGCTGTTTGTAGACTACAGTTCAGCATTCAACACAATCGTTCCTTCGAGGCTCAACTGCAAGCTCCGGGATCTGGGTCTGAACAGCACACTGTGCAGCTGGATCCTGAACTTCCTGACGGACCGACGGCAGGTGGTAAGGATGGGAAGTATCACATCCTCCTCTTTGACCCTCAACATCGGAGCCCCCCAGGGCTGTGTGCTCAGCCCGCTCCTGTACTCCCTGTACACCCATGACTGCATTGCTAGACACAGCTCCAACGTCATCATAAAGTTTGCTGACGACACAACAGTTGTGGGCCTGATCTCCAACAGCGATGAATCGGCCTACAGAGAGGAGGTTAAAATCCTGGAAAACTGGTGCCAGGAGAATAACCTCTCTCTAAACGTCAGTAAGACCAAGGAGCTGATCGTGGACTTCAGGAAGCAGGAGAGAGTACACCCATCGATTTCCATCAATGGGACTGCGGTAGAGAGGGTCAGCAGCTTTAAGTTTCTCGGTGTTCACATCAGCGAGGACCTGACATGGGCAGTGCACACCTCACAGGTGGTGAAGAAGGCCCACCAGCGCCTCTACTTCCTCAGAAGGCTGAGGAGGTTTGGCCTGAACCCCAGCATCCTTAAGACCTTCTACACCTGCACTGTGGAAAGCATCCTGACGGGCAGCATCACCACCTGGTACGGGAACTGTACTGTTCGTGAGAGGAAATCTCTGCAGAGGGTGGTGCGGACAGCACAGTCCATCACCGGGGTTCAGCTCCCTAACCTATTGGATTTATACACCAGTCGCTGCCTGAGGAAATCCAGAAGGATTATGAAGGACCCCTCCCATCCTAGTCACTGTCTGTTCTCTCAGCTGCCGAGTGGTAGGAGGCTCAGAAGCTTAAAAGCCAGAACCAGTCGGCTCAAAGACAGCTTCTTCCCCCATGCAACCAGGCTATTGAACAGCCAGTAATCACTGCTCTGCCCAGCCCAACCCTTCCCATTACACGTACGTGCACCCACTGTACTCCCGCACTTTACTTGCATAGCTGGACTTTGAATACCTATCCAAAGACAATACTCTCCCCCTGCGCTTCCACTTAACTTCCTGTACCTTGCACTTTACTAAATACTCTGCCACCTACTGTACCATCTTCTACCTCCACACCTAGTGTGATTACTTGCACATCTACATAGCATTGTAATATCCATTACTATATATAGTATATAGTTGATTACACTCACTCTACATTCCCAGTGCAATATTATATGTCTCGGTGCAATATTATTATTTTTAAGTTATTGTGTAAGATTATATGTATATATTTTAGTTAAATTGGTTTTATCTATTCTTCTATCCTATCTATAGTTTTGTTTATCTATGTTGTAAATACTGTTCTCTGCATAATTTGTGGAACTCGCACTCAAGTTTTTCACTCACCTGTGTCCCTGTACTCTTGTGATGTGACAATAAATCTGATTTGATTTGATTTGATTTGAAGTAATAGAAAACACAGTAGCTCACAGAAAGCTACACACTGATACATTTCATGATAACCAGCGTGAACATGCAGCATGCTGTAACTCCTCTGGCAGCAGATTTAAATGACTTATAGAGGCCATCATCAAATTCTCAGATCACCAGTGAGACACTCATTTCAATAAAGCTAACATTATGAGCACACTATGGTATGAAGGACTTCTTGCTTCTGTGAATAATGTTGCAGTATCAGGGCTAGTGGTTTTGCAAATGATGTCCAATTAATGACATGAGGGAACTCTAAGTTTTCACCACACTGCATTATGTTTAACACAATGGTGTCCTTATTATAACAGAATCATTATGATAAAACTATTAAAATATTGCATTCTGTTATTTTACCAATATTTTCTTTTATTTTCTTTTTTAAATATACTCTGTACATGCTACAGCAATGTAATTACTTCCAATGTATTCACTATTACAGATGATCGTAGTAGTACAGCTTATCAACTTCACTTCAGCATTTACTCAAGTAATTGCACAGGTGAATCTTTGCACAGCAAATATAACATATTCTCTCTTGTGCAGTTACACATGTGTAATAGGTGAACAGTTGTTTTTCCAACAAGACTTTTCTGATTGTAACAGACGGTGTGTAATTACATTGCACTGTTGTTGCTTGTATTGTTAATGTACACCTACACAGTTATGAGACACTTAATCCATTAAATTCCCAGGCTTATTACATACTGTATTGTAATAAAGGTTCTGTTCAGGTACATTTTTTGCTCATTAAGGTACAAACAGTGTAAATGTTCCCTCAAAGGTACAACAGTGGTTCTAAGGTCTGATTGTGAACCTTAAATAAGTTTTTCCAGGTGAAAAGTTTGTATTTGTACCTTTTCATAACTGAATGTTTTAAAACAGAACAGTAAAATAAAAGTCCTGGAGACGAGACGGGGTGTGTGGAGTCAGTACAGCTTAGAACATATCATTTCAGTGGATTATGGTTCAGTTACCCCTTGAGGGTTCCACCCCAGTGACAAGAGGGGAACTGACCAGAGACAGTTTAGCACCTTTATTTCTGAGAGTGTAAGGCTTATTATTCAGTAACTACAGGGACTTCAGTGCAAACTAGTTAAGTTATTCTTAGAAATTCTATAGAAGTTTGTAATAAAACTTTGGACCTGCTGGTGGGCCCTGACCATTTAGGGGTTAACATAAATTGGGACCTGAAATATTTACACATGTAATTAAGTTATCTAATTACAAATGCTTACAAATGTTTATTTTGTTTGGATCTGACTTTGTTTGGACCATTTTCTTTAATCATACTTGTGTTCTTACCGTCTAGGCAATAAGACACAGTGGAGATGAGTTCAAGAAAGTGGTTGCATATATTCGAAAACTGAGTGGATGTAATGCTCTGGCTCAAAGTCTGTACCAGCTCATCTGTAAAGCTACAACTATCACCCACGTCCAAAAGGTAAAAAGTAATTAACAAAACAACTGCAATTAAATAAGAATTGTTGTAAAACAATATATGTACAAAATAAAACATCACTGATACATGTATAAGTTTACATTTTTGCTTTTTAGATTGCAGCTGTGGAAGGGCTGTACTTCCTCTTCAGGGAAATGTTGCCGAGCCCTACAAAACGTTATGGGGAGAAGATCATTGAAGATGAGGATGTTTTTGAACATGCAGCTGTTTGCTGGGCCTACCTTTTATCAGAGGGGGGGGTAAGCATATTTTTTTATCTGTGTTTCTCTAAAAATGATGCTTTCATAATTTCCTCTGCTTTTTATTTTTTATTAATTTTATTTTATCATTAGCACAAGAAGGTACAGTAAATACAAACAAAAAAGGACAAAAAAAAATTGCAGAGTAAATTTGTACAATGTACTTTCCCTCAAAGAATTAAAATTATTAAATAGAATTAAATAAAAAAACAAACAGACAAAATCACAGAAAACACACAGTTAGGTGTTTCATATTTATGTTTGTTAGTGTGAGAATAGATGAGTTTTAACCTGCTTTTTAAGCTGGTAAGACAGGTATAGCTTTTAGATGGGGTGGTAGACCATTCCAGATTGAAGGCCCTTGATGAGAAGTGTTAACTGTTAAAGTGACATCCTAAAGAAAGCTGTGTGGAGATCATTAGATGATCTTGTGGAGTAATGATGAAAGTTGAACGTTTTCAAAGCAGCCAGGAAGAAGACTGTGTATAGAAGACAAAAACAAACTGGCATATTTGAAAATGGTTAATTTCATACACATTAAGTATTTGAAGATTTTGGAAAAATGGAGGAGAGTTTACATGAGCATATATATATATATATATATATATATATATATATATATATATATATATATATATATATATATATTAAATTAGCTAAAGTGGCCATTCTAACAAAGCGCTTCTGAAGAATGTAAACACCTGATGTTTCAATGAGTATACCAAGAAACTTACAATTTACAGTACAGTGGGCCTGAGTTAATATGTGACTAGAAACACAGACTGGAGGAAGACTATCAACGACTTTTTCATTTTTGGAGCTGAACAGCATGTATGAACTTCCTTTGATGTTGAGGGATGAATTATTAGCTTTAAGCCAGTGATTAATATTTATTAATGACCATCTTTATCAGATAGGAAAATATTGGTGTCATCAACAAACAAAAATAAATAACATATTCTTTGCTGCCAAGTAAAGATCTTTAACATCTATTAAAAAACAACAGAAGTCCCAATATTGACCCTGAAGAAATTCCACAATCTATAAGACACAGTTTTCTATGTGATAAATCACTCCTGAACCACCTAACTCCACATTTTGAATACCATAGTACTGTAATTTGTGTAGCAGGATACTGTCTCTGTGTTGAATGCTTTCAGACTCCTATGGTTATTTCATTGTTATTGAATGCTTTGCAATACAATGCATGTTTAAGTGCAACAGGAAAGAAGAGCTGTACATGCTTCTTTTTTTCACACAGGTTTATGAAAGATTGATCTGTGTGATATGTGCAGTTTCTAGTAGCATTGTTAATAGATTGGTCTGAGAAATTAGTATCAGGGTCTGCGTTAGAAAATAAATTAAGACAAACATCGGGTGGAATAGAGAAATGTGTATATGAAGCTGTATTGTGGTCATAAAAAGAAGGAGAACTGGACAGGGCTGTAGCCCTGAAAAAGTAAAGGACTAAGTCTGTTTATGAAATATGAACAGTGATGAATCAGACTGGGTTTGATCATTTTGCTTGGTTGGAAGCTTAGGTGGACGAGCAACTAGCTGATGATATCTGAATATTTAGGTCTCCCCACTCTGTCTCTAGCGAGGATTTATTTAAATCAGATCATTATTGTATTAATTTTAATATGTCCCTATTTATGACTAAGGCTGGTTCCAAACACTGTGTACAGCCACAGTTTTTTAATAATAAATCAATATCACAATTTTCTGATGTTTTTACAGGGTTTAGTGAACACTCATTTCTCTGTACTGATGTTTATGACCTTGCTAGCTGTTTTAACAAGCTATTCTTTAGTCAGGGACAGTCAGGGAGTGGACCCAAGCGCAGAGAGGAAAACCCATGAGGACGGGTTTTAAAACTGAGAAGCAAAAATAATGCATATAAAGGAAAGGGCCACAAAGGAAGGGCCAGAGGCGGGAGACGTGGAACATGGGGTGAAGACCTAAGTGGGTGACCCCCACTGCGGGGATGCCTGGCTTCCAGAGAGTGCAGTGTGGGCTCTTGGTTGGGAAGGCAGGCACTATCTAACTGCAAGGGCGCAGGCAGCTCTTGGGGTTGGCACCAGGGTGGACGGTGGTCTGAAGCACAAGAGTTGCCCCTTCAGTCCAAGTCTCTATGATATATGCCGGTATTGTGTCGAATGCATACATCATTAGAGATCTTCCAATGTGGTGGGCAGCTCTCGAGTGGCGAGCTTATCCTTTATCCTGCCATTTAGCCCCTGCTGAAATCATCATTCCAGCCGCTTTTCACAGCTAAGGTACGAAACTGAATGGTATAATCTGCCACCAAGCGGGAACCCTGGGAAAGACTGAGCAGCCAAGATGTTTGGCACATGGCCTTCACAAACGTTGTACCTGTTGTACAGTCCAGGGAATTTTGCTCCCATAGGGCTGTAGCCCAGGCTAATGCTCAGTTAGCAATGAGGTAATGTAGTCCATCTTGGATCTCTCTGTGGGAAACCAGGAGGGCTGCTGCTCAAATACCAATGAGCACTGTAACAAGAACCCTCTGCATCCCTCCGCATCCCCAGCCGCTCAGGATTGTCCACATGAGAATCCTTGTACTGGGGCAGGCAGAGCAGGGGGAGGAGCATCTGTGGAGGCTGCCACAACAGGTATGCTAGCACTGGGTTTGATGGCCTCGAGTAATGCTGACAGCTGCTGGGTCCTTTCTTGCAGCTTGTTTGTTTTCTCTTTTACCTTGCATTTTGGAGAAGTTTCAATCAGGTTTTAGCCAAAAACATAGCACAGAAACAGGCCAGAGACAGAATTTTAAATAATATCTTAATGAATGCTGATGCTGGAGAGGTGTGTGTTTTGAGATTATTGGATATCAGTGCAGCCATTGACACTGTTGATCATAATATTTGATTATTAGGCTGCATCAGTGGGCTGGCATATCAGGGACTGCCTTAGACTGGTTTGTTTCATATTTATCCAGTAGAAAATTTAGGGTATCTATTGGAGATAAATTGTTGTCGTGTGCTGATCTTTTATGTTTCATCTTCTACATTATTTGAAAAAAAATTACACTTTGTGTTCAGGTAAACAACATCTATGACTGAATAGTTCGTGTTCAGGTAAACAACATCTATGACTGAATAGTTCGTGTTCAGGTAAACAACGTCTATGACTGAATAGTTCGTGTTCAGGTGAAACAATGTCTATGACTGAATAGTTCATGTTCATGTAAATAACGTCTACAATTGAATAGTTTGTGTTCAGGTGAAACAACGACTATGACTGAATAGTTCATGTTCAGGTAAACAAGATAAGTAAGTAAGTAAGTAAAGTTTATTTTTATAGCGCTTTTTACAACAGGTGTTGTCACAAAGCAGCTTTACAAGGAAATGAGCATTACAAAAAGAAGTCCGGGTCCAAGCCCCCTGAGCAAGCCAGTGGCGACAATGGTAAGGAAAAACTTCCTAAGAAACAGGAAGAAACCTTTAGAGGAACCAGGACTCAGAAGGGGAACCCATCCTCCTCTGGTCGACACCGGATAGTAAACATTGTTAGTATAAAGTATTATAGTACAGAAACAGGGTAAAAGGTGGAGCAAACAATTAATTTGAATAGTTCAGTTCATGCAGCAGCAGCATCAGTGGGGTCAGGTTGTGGGGGTGAGGTTTGCACGGTGAGCAGTGGCACCCGATCAAGGCAGCAGAGGCAGCAGCATCAGCAGTAGGATGGGCAGCTGTTCAACTCGGCAAAGGAAAGAGAGGAAAAAAACAGTCAGTTCTACAATGGGTGATTGATTAATTTGAATTAGTTTAAATGATTGATTGGTTCAGGTGAATAATTTTGATTAGTTCATGCAGCAACAGCAGTAGTATCAGTGGGGTCAGGTTGTGAGGGTGAGGTTTGCACGGCGTTGAACAGCAGGAGGCTCAATGTTGGTAAGCCGGTCCAGAGGGCTGGCGAGCAGTGGCACCCGATCGAGGCAGAAAAGGCAGCAGCATCAGACGCACAGGATGGGCAGCTGTTCAACTCGGTGAAGAAAAGAAAGGAAAACACACAGAGAGGAAAACACACAGAGTCAGTTCTGTAATGGGTGACCGATCACAAATTACAGTGTTAGCAGAGACTCTGGCAGGTATAGAACTAACCGGGAAAACTAATTACCAAAGTCTGGACTATACAAGTAGGTTTTTAGCTTAGACTTAAAGACTGAGGCTGTGTCTGAGTCCCGAACATTAACAGGAAGATTATTCCAAAGCTGGGGGGCTTTGTATGAGAAGCTCTCCCCCCCGACGTAACTTTATTAATTCTGGGTACTAATAGTGAGCAGCACCTTGTGATCTAAGTAGGCGTGATGGTTCATAGTGGGAGAGAAGTTCACTCAGGTACTGAGAGGCGAGTCCGTTTAGAGCTTTATAGGTCAGTAAGAGAATTTTATAATCAATGCGAAATTTAACTGGCAACCAGTGTAAAGTTGATAAAACTGGGCTGATATGGTCAAACTTTCTGGTTCTTGTAAGAACTCTGGCTGCAGTGTTCTGGACCAACTGAAGCTTGTTAAGGCTTTTGCTGGGACATCCAGCCAGCAGGGCATTACAGTAATCCAGCCTTGAAGTAATAAATGCATGAACTAACTTTTCTGCATCCTGTAGAGAGAATGCATTTCTCAATTTAGCAATATTGCGGAGATGCAGGAAGGCTGTTCTAGTAATATTAGTTATATGTGCGTCGAAGGACAGATCAGGGTCTATAATGACACCAAGGCTTTTTACAGATGAGCTTGATGCAACTGAGAAATTGTTAAGTTTAAGTGTAAAATCAGACAGTTTGTTTCCTGCAGCTTTTGGACCAAGAAGCAGAACCTCTGTTTTATCTGAGTTTAGAAGGAGAAAGTTACTCCACATCCAGTCCTTTATGTCTTGTATACAGTCTTCAATCTTGCTAAGTTTAATTCTATCATCTGGGTCGCTTGCTAAATATAACTGAGTGTCATCGGCATAGCAGTGGAAGTTTATGCCGTG